TATCCTATTCATTCACCATTTATAGTGAATTTCTCTTGTGGACTACGAATATTCACCAGCAGGTAGTCTGTAAATAGTGGGAATAAGCGTCTGAACAGCTAGACACACACACGCACGCACGCACCCACACACACACACACACACACACACACACACACATACATACATATACATGCATATATATATATGTGTATATATATATATATATATATATATATATATATATATATATATATATATGTATATATATATATATATATATATATATATATATATATATATAAGTATGAATATCTATGTACTATGCAATATATATTATGTAGCCTATATTATCCTGTACGTAATTCCATATTCGTTTCTTTATTTTCTCATTTTACAAGTTTATCCATTTGCCTTATAATACATAGCCTTTTGCTATGGAATAACTATGTTCTGGGGAATATATATATTATTGTTTAAATATTTTAAAGGGGAGCTACGTTAGTTAAACCACCGTAAAACGAGTGGTTGAGGGTAACTTATCACTCTTAGGGAAGCTAAAAGAAAGCTGAATCGAATAAGTCATACAATTATCATCTACTTTTAACGCTTGCACTCCGTTTTCACAAAAATACTTAAAATAAATTTTGATATTCATTATTTTGAGATACCTTTCTAAGAGATGGGTGCATGAAAAAAAAAAAAAAAAAAAAAAAAAAAAAAAAAAAAAAAAAAAAAAAAAAAAAAAAAAAAAAAAAAAAAAAAAAAAAAAAAAAAAAAAAAAAAAAAAAAAAAAAAAAAAAAAAAAAAAAAAAAAAAAAAAAAAAAAAAAAAAAAAAAAAAAAAAAAAAAAAAAAAAAAAAAAAAAAAAAAAAAAAAAAAAAAAAAAAAAAAAAAAAAAAAAAAAAAAAAAAAAAAAAAAAAAAAAAAAAAAAAAAAAAAAAAAAAAAAAAAAAAAAAAAAAAAAAAAAAAAAAAAAAAAAAAAAAAAAAAAAAAAAAAAAAAAAAAAAAAAAAAAAAAAAAAAAAAAAAAAAAAAAAAAAAAAAAAAAAAAAAAAAAAAAAAAAAAAAAAAAAAAAAAAAAAAAAAAAAAAAAAAAAAAAAAAAAAAAAAAAAAAAAAAAAAAAAAAAAAAAAAAAAAAAAAAAAAAAAAAAAAAAAAAAAAAAAAAAAAAAAAAAAAAAAAAAAAAAAAAAAAAAAAAAAAAAAAAAAAAAAAAAAAAAAAAAAAAAAAAAAAAAAAAAAAAAAAAAAAAAAAAAAAAAAAAAAAAAAAAAAAAAAAAAAAAAAAAAAAAAAAAAAAAAAAAAAAAAAAAAAAAAAAAAAAAAAAAAAAAAAAAAAAAAAAAAAAAAAAAAAAAAAAAAAAAAAAAAAAAAAAAAAAAAAAAAAAAAAAAAAAAAAAAAAAAAAAAAAAAAAAAAAAAAAAAAAAAAAAAAAAAAAAAAAAAAAAAAAAAAAAAAAAAAAAAAAAAAAAAAAAAAAAAAAAAAAAAAAAAAAAAAAAAAAAAAAAAAAAAAAAAAAAAAAAAAAAAAAAAAAAAAAAAAAAAAAAAAAAAAAAAAAAAAAAAAAAAAAAAAAAAAAAAAAAAAAAAAAAAAAAAAAAAAAAAAAAAAAAAAAAAAAAAAAAAAAAAAAAAAAAAAAAAAAAAAAAAAAAAAAAAAAAAAAAAAAAAAAAAAAAAAAAAAAAAAAAAAAAAAAAAAAAAAAAAAAAAAAAAAAAAAAAAAAAAAAAAAAAAAAAAAAAAAAAAAAAAAAAAAAAAAAAAAAAAAAAAAAAAAAAAAAAAAAAAAAAAAAAAAAAAAAAAAAAAAAAAAAAAAAAAAAAAAAAAAAAAAAAAAAAAAAAAAAAAAAAAAAAAAAAAAAAAAAAAAAAAAAAAAAAAAAAAAAAAAAAAAAAAAAAAAAAAAAAAAAAAAAAAAAAAAAAAAAAAAAAAAAAAAAAAAAAAAAAAAAAAAAAAAAAAAAAAAAAAAAAAAAAAAAAAAAAAAAAAAAAAAAAAAAAAAAAAAAAAAAAAAAAAAAAAAAAAA